CAAAATTCGCTTCTCTGTCTCTCTCTCACACATTTGGTTCTTATGGAAGATACCAATAATGTAAATTTTTTGAATAAGTGCTATACGTCATTAGTTTTGGAACATTAGAAGCTTATGAAATCTAAAATAAAAAATTAGGGTCCGTATTTAAAAAAATGAAGTTGATGATGGTGGCCCAAACACGAAACGTCAAATTGCAAATTTGATGGTAGCTTCTTATAGGGGACAAAAGGTGGCAATGATGAAGTGACATTTATTTTGGAATATCACTTCAAATAAGGTCAGGAAAAAATAAAAACAATTTTGCAAAATTTCGGTTTTTTCCGGATATCTCCGGAAGTTTTCGGAATATCCTGAATATCAAAGCGGCATTTTGTTAAGCATCAAATTATGCAACTTTGCCCCAATTTAACCAACCCTGTATATCTTACCGTTTCCGAGATCCCAATGATGTGGCTCGAATTTGAAACACCCTGTACATTAGCTATTTTGTCACAAAGGTCAATATGAGTAATATTATTGACAGCAATATTTCTAGGAGTCTCCTCAATTAATGGTGGGATTAACCGATCATTGCTAACTAATTGAGGGTTGAAAGTTTGATCAGCCGGATTCCTGCTCAGAAAATCTGAGAATTCATTGTTTTTTCCATCACAGTGAATTAAGTCAATGGTCTCTGCTACAGTGAAATGAGCGCTAGCATATGAGATGATTTGGCGGTCTTGGTTATTTTCATTCATCTGAAAAAGGACACATCCCATACCTATCGCAGAGGCATCAGTTTGTAGGTTAAAGGTTTTGGAAAAATCAGGTCTATAAAGAGCAAGAGGTTGTGAAATTTTCTCTTTGATTGTGTTAAAAGCAGTCTGATGCTCATTCATCCACCGGAATCTGGTATTTTTGTGTGAAAGGGGTGTGAGAGGTGCAATGAGGTGGGACATATGACGTATATAATTCCGCACCCAATTACAAGTTCCTAAAAAACTTTGCTGCAACTGTTTCTTTGTATTGGGAGGAGGGACATTTTTTATTGCAATTATATGTTTTTCTTGGGGGATAATTTTACCTCCAGAAATCATGTGACCTAGGTATTCTAACTCTGAAGTGGCAAACTGACATTTTTCATGGGAAACTTTCAAATTATGAATTCGGAGTCTTCCAAATATTAATCGTAGGTGGATAAGATGAGTGTTTAAATCGGTAGAGTAAATAATAATATCATCTAAGTAGACATTACAAAAGATGTTTAAAAAGCCACAAAGGACTTCATTTGTCATAAGCCTCTGGAATGTTGCTGGGGCATTTTTTAAACCAAAGGGCATTACAGTAAATTGATATAATGCACCATCAGGGGTAGAAAATGCTGTATATGGCTTCGAGGCAGGATCAAGTGGCACTTGCCAGTATCCTGATTTCAGGTTAAGTTCTGTGAATATAGTTACATTACCCAAATCTTTGAGGGTGTCCAGAATTTTGGGCAATACTGATGGTTCATCGACTGTAATTAGGTTTATTAGACGGTAATCTATACAAAATCTGAGTTTTTTGCCTTCTTTATTGACAACTAGCTGACCCGGCGAACTTCGTACCGCCTCTGAATTATTAAATACGTATTAATTGTTGTGTTAACGTATCTATTAGCTGAATTAAATTCAGTTTTTTTCGATGGTGAATTTGGCTTTGGTTGAAGAAAATTAATGGTTACTCTCTGGATCAGAAGTCACCTAACACTAAAATTTTACATCATCCTTTTTTAGGCAGCTTGTGGGCATTATTCTTGTAAAGTGTACCACCAAATAAATAAACTCAGGCACAGGAATGTTCAAAGAATGTAAAGAAAACAAAAAAAATCTCCAGCGCAGCCCTGTTTCACTCTATCTGCACTGCATGCACTGCACTTCTCCATCTGTTCTACTCTATCTGCACTATTCTATCTAATCTACTCTTTCTGCACAACTCTATCTGATCAGAATAGTGAAATAGTTCTGTTCGGAATAGCTCCAGTTCTTGAGCAGCATTGTTCTACTGGTATCTGCAATGAAATTATCGCGCAACGGCGAGCTTCGTTCTAGGTATCAGAGATGGCGCCGTATACAAAATGGTTTGCAATGAAAATGTGGCGGTAAACTTGGTATCGGTTATAAGAGATGGCGTCGTATGCGGGCTTAGTGATTTTTTTTCATAAATAAGTGAAATAAGTAATTTTGTTTTTTGTTTTTTTTTTTTTGGATTTTTTCGATTTATTATGTTATCAGGGACAAAGACAAATCCAATAAAGCAAAAATCATAAAAATCAGTCCAGCCGTTCTCGAGTTATAAATGTTAGAACCAACACAACTGTGTTTTATATAAGTATATAGATTACGATAGGAGAACTATATCTCGAGGAAGACGATTTGATTACACCAGCTGATAACATTTTATCCACTTGTTGGTACATGCTTTCTTTAAGCTGTGGATTCATTGGGTACGGTTTCTAGGCTATAGTCTTATCGGGATTAGTTAGAAAAAATGTATGAGTTGTTGAAGTTGCAGTGGGTTTGTGAAGGCCGTAATTGAAGATATCCGAATAATCTTCGATAAGGTTTAAAATATTTTGGTTCTTTTGTATTTCTGGGGAGAGATAAGTCAAGAAATCGGTATTGGGAATATGATTATTTTGTGGAATATGCCAGTTAACAGTTTTACGAGATGTAGTACCTATATAGGCACACTTTCTAGTAAAATCCAAGATAACATCATTGGATTTCAGGAAAGGCTCTCCTAGAATAAATTGTTCCTGTTATTTTGGTGAAAGGATAAATTCTGAGTTACAAGCTAAAGAGTTTATTGAAAAATCTGCTGTGTTCATTAGTTCTTCACAAGTGAGAGGTGAAGTGAGAACTAACCCAAACTAACCCAAATCTTCTCAACCTGGATCGAAGATCGGGTCGCAGCTGTTCAATAATGAGGGCAGCTTTCAGTTTTTCACGTTTGTATGGATCGAGTCTAGTAAAAAGGGCTAACTTTCTGGCAATGAAAACATTTACAGACTCGGTGGGTTTTTGTTTGTCACCATAAAGAGAAGAAGTTGCATTAGCAAAAAGTGAAATTTATTTAAATCTATTCAAAAACTGTTCCCTGAAAGCATTCCAGGAAAAATTAAGAGATATGTAGGGCTCAAACCATTCTCTAGCTTCTCCCCTAAGCAAGGAAACCCCCACGCTGACTCTTTCAGAGCTATCCAGAATGTTTAAATCATTCAAATACCATTCCAGTGTCCTAGCAAAGAACATAGGGTTATCATAGTCGAAGCCATGAAAAAGGATAGTGGGCTTTTTATTAGGTTTTGTATAGAAATCGCTCAAATCTTTAAGGAATTTGGTAAAAACGTTGGTAACATCTGCTAAAGCTTTTTCCATGGATTTGGTACTGTTTGGCTGAGTGTTTGGCTAATATTTGGATTTCTAAATAAATTAAGATTAATATTAATGTTATTATTTGGGTTAGTTAGTGGTGGATTTATCAAGGGGTTTGTTTACTGATAATTGGTACTGGTACAAGTTATTGGTGTTTAAGTCTGTCCTATCATTAGCATTATTGTTATCAATAAATGGGTTCGATAAATTGAGAGATTCCTGAGAACCTGGTAATAATGAAAAAAAAAAGCGTTCTATTGTTTATTTTTCTTCACAACTAACAATAATAAATGTGGACAAAAGGGACAAGGAGTTGTCCTGGAAGTTGAAATTCCACCTGAAACATAGCTAAGGCTAATTTCAGAGAAAATTTCCATTTTGAGGGCTTATAATTTAGAAATGAAATAATTCTGAAAATTCTGGATAAAGCCATTCTGTGGGAAATTCAATCCTTCATCGAATGAAATATGATTCATTGAAATCGATCCAGGCATTCCAGAGTTATAGGCCATTTATTAAGATCATGTCAGGCTGGAAAAGCCTCATCCCTATTAATTTTATTTTTTATTTCTCTCCGGGTTTAAGAGACTTCTTATGGGAAAATGCCAAATAGCTTCTCTGCTTGTTTTGACCTCCTCTATACAGTGGAATTTTTGTTTTTCCAAAATTCGAACAATTCCGATTTTGCATTTTATGGGGTATAGAAAAGGGCCGGAGAATCCTGGAAAAACAGGAAATTATATAAGGGGGAAAAAGTGAGTTTCAAACATTTCTCTGGACCTCTTCTATGACGTAGTGGAAGAAAATCCGGGAAATTTTGACTTTGATTTTTTGGCCGAAAAAAAGCAAGGCCCAATGATTTTAAAACTTCCAAGTGAAATATCTCGGAAATGGTAAGTCGGAGAGGTAAGACTCGCAAAGCTTTTTTGTAGATCTCGACGAGTTCTACAATCTGCCCGTGAAGAATTTTCCTCTACGACTTACCGTTACGGAGTTGTGGCCTGTTGAAGTTACAATTTTTGTCATTTTCAGAGTTTCCTGTGTTAAAGGTATAAGGCCAAAAAACCAAAGTCAAATTTCAAGATAGCCATTTTGTAGAGGAGATTCCAAAAAGTCCCAAAACCAAGTTTTTTCCCTCAACTTTTACAATTTCCCATGAAGGCTTTCAATCTTATAATATATTACATATATCATGGAGATTTGGAGATCCTAAAAAATCATTTTTAAAGTCAAAAAATCAAAATTTTAAATTTCAAAATTTTTGTGCTAACTCTGAAGATATTTTTCTAAAAATTTTGAAAAATCATATCTCCAATTGTATCATAGATAGAAATCTGAAATTCACAGAGAATCTTATTTAAAGATCCTGAACATTTTAGCATACTTCAATATATAGGTAGGTAACTTTTCCAGAGATAAAATTCCGTAAGGAAAGAGGAGAAAATTTTATCGTTTTTCAACTTTTCCACTGCTCTTTGATAAAACATTTCGGCTTCAAATCTGACAGTATGGTCCTGAATCTTGCTCATTTAGATTATCAAAGTATAAGCTCATTTGGGCTTCCCGTGAATCTCTACATTCAATTGATTTTCAATAAACACGGCAGATTTTTCGATCTCCCCCTATACATTTAGAAAGTTACTTAGTTAAATATTTTTTACAAATTCTATTACATTGTTTATGACAATCAGGCATGATAATTAGAGTCGTGTTCTCTTTATCTTTTACACAATAGAATATTAGTCATGAAAAACCTATAAAATAAGTAGTATTTATTTAAAAACAAAAAACCCAGTGCTATTTCCCGCGACAGGTAATTCACCCCGATAACATTTTAACACCCTCGCAATCAAAATAGCATTAACATATTTCGTGTAGTCATCTTATCATTGGCTACTTTAAATAATAATCCATTATTAATAATAAGTAAGTATATAAAGAAGTGACATATTTACTGCATTTTAATAGTTCGTGCGATATACTGCGCTTCAAAAAGTTATAAATATTCAATAAATATAATCTGTAATTGGCAGGTAAGCTTGACTATAGTGAAAAGTGCATTATGGGCATTATCTTTTTTTAAATAATTAGCGGTGACGTTTAAATTATATACTTAAAACAAACTAGTATTTAAGTTAATACTTGATTTGACTATGAAACAGTTACAATTTGAATTTTTATAAACAAATTACGGTACGGTAAAGAATCAAATTATTCCAATCCAACGCTAACAAATTTTGACGAAAAACAATAAATTCTTGTTTATTAATTATTCTGCATTATAATTGAGATTTTCCATTTCTTGCTCGCAATAAATTTAATTAATTTCAATTAGCAAAACAATATTAAAACCGGCAAAGTCCCTCTCTCGCGCTCTAAATTATATTCATTCAATATCTCCGGAACATTCTTTAAATTCAACAATTTTCCATTTTCTCCTTGTTGGATGTTTATAAATAATATAGACGGCGACTTAAATTAAATTCGGGAAGAAAATGATGGCGAAAGAGAACGCTTAAATTTAAGAGCAAAATAAATACGCGAGAGTGAGAGCTACGCTTTTGTTTATTATAGTGAATCAAAGGCATATTTACCTTTTTACTTAAATAAACCTAATTAGGGAGTTATTATCAATTAAATGGGTTGTTTTTCTTTTAGCTAACAAGAAAATGAAGCTAATTTTAAAGTTAATCATCCTTTTGATAAACTCGGCCTTATTGTGTAACGCAGTCTGTTCTCGAGGAGTATTTGGTAAGAAACATTTCTCATCAAAAATATAGAATAGCAGATTGATTTTCAGAATCCGGTGTAAGTCAAAACGAGCGCAATTTCATTGTCAATGAGCATAATAGGCTGAGAATGATGCTAGCAAAGGGTCAAGTTGGAGGACAACCGAGAGCCATCAATTTGAAACGAATGGTAAGAATCAGAATCTTGTAAAAAAGGTTTTTCCGGACTATAATGTCGTGGTCCAGTAGTATTTCTACCTAAAGTTTCGTCTACTGCTGCGATAGACATTTTCAGAGGCGGTGTGGTAGCGGACGAAGTGTTCTCTTCAGTGTTTTTCCGATGACTGGATTCGAAGTTTGGCTTGCCAGGTCCTGTTAGTTCAATTTATTTGTTGGTCCTTCTTGGCGGATCCCATGTTGGGGTTATAGATTTTGGCTTCCTCATTCTGGGTGATTCCCTGATAAAGAGTGTACCTAATGCTCCGGGCGGAGCTGGCAGGTGGCGTTCCCTGACTAATGGGTTGTTGGCTGTGCTGGGTTTTTCAAAATAAACTGCTCGCCAAAAAAAAAAACGGGACAAGCAATTTTTAGCACTATATTCAATTTGTAATAACTTTTTTATTTTATTTTTGTTTTTAATGCGGTTTTAGGTATTCGATAGTCCATGTTGTAGACCACGTGGGAAAAGAATATTTTTTTCGAAGAAATGCATTTTTGAAGTTATACAGGGTGAATAATAGATTGATGCAAAAATACAAAAAGTATGAATGTCTGCCATATTGACAATAATTTCTGTATAGGCCTTTAGTAAGTTGACATCAATATCTCCAGACGTTTTTGCCAGTTTTTTGATAAGTGCCCTTTGGCAGCAGATACAATATTGACAAAGTTGACAAAATCTTGTGAGCACAATATTTAAAGGGCTGTATCTTGAAAACGGTTGTATTGATTTCGAACATTTTTGCAGGTTTTGAAAGCCCATTTTTTTTAAAGTTGCCACGACTTGCTTGCTTTTTTTGCAGATGGCCCTGTTTACATTATACAGTGGTCGAGGAAAAAATACACCTCAAATTAGGCAAATTATGATGATTGTTCTTTCAACTCTATAGAAATTGATCTGTATGCCTTTTGTTTTCTTTGAAAATTGGTTAGGTGATACTCTGGGACCAACATCTCGGAACACTTTTTTCATTTTTTGCATAAGAGTTTCCTGAAGAGCCATTTTAGCACCACAATGTTGGAACGATGTGGCTTACGGTTTATTGGATTGTGAAACGTTTTTTCCACAATGGAACCTGATTTTGTGACAATTAATCGGCTATTTTTGGAAATTTAAATTTACTCATTATACAGGGGTTGCACAAAAGTAAGAGTGAGTTTCCTAAACATTCTCAAACGGCTTTAGCTTGAGAACGATTTTGGAAGATTATTTTTTGGAAGTTAACTCTCTTATTTTTTTATTGGAAAACTTTGCATTATACAGGGAGATTTATTTGGCTATTTTTGGAAATTGAAATGTTCTCATTATACAGGGGTTGGGTCAAAGTAAACCAGAGTTTGACAAAAATTCTCAAACGGCTGTAGCGTGAAAAAAATTTTGGAAGATCAATTTTCTAATGGCAAACTTCGCATTATACAGGGATTACCGAAAAATAAACTTAATTTTGCAAAAAATGCTTGAACAGCTGTAACTTGAGAACGCTTTTGGAAACTCATCAGTTTCTCTAATTTTTCACGACCTGGCTTTTTTTGCATACCATACCCTTTTAGTAGGTATACACAGATCAAGCATTAAAACAAAATTAAAATTGCCCAAAAATGGTTAATACTGGGGTAGTTTTGAAATTATGCGAATTGGCTTATTTTCCAAACTTGCTGTTCAAACGTCGAAAAAGCGATTTTACTTTGTTGATTAGTGCTCTTTGGCTACAGATACGCTAGTTTTCTTATATTGTTGGTAATTGAATAGCATTGTTTTCGTAAGTTACAGCCATTCAAGCATTTTTTGCAAACTTAAGTCTACTTTTCGGTAGTCCCCGTATAATGCTAAGTTCTTCATTGAAAAAATAAGAGAGTTAACTTCCATAAAAACATCTTTCAAAATTGTTTTCACGCTACAGCCGTTTGAGAATTTTTGTCAAACTCAGGTTTACTTTTACGCAACCCCTGTATAATGAGAACATTTTAATTTCCAAAAATAGCCGAATAATTCTCCCTGTATAATGCAAAGTTCTCCATTAGAAAAAATAGGAGAGTTAACTTCCATAAAATAAGCTTCCAAAATCGTTCTCAAGATAAAGCCGTTTGAGAATGTTTAGGAAACTCACTCTTACTTTTGTACAACCCCTGTATAATGAGAAAATTTAAATTTCCAAAAATAGCCGATTAATTGTCATAAAATGAGCTTCCATTGTGGGAAAACGTTTCACAATCCAATAAACCGTTAGCCACATCGTTCCAACATTGTGGTGCTAAAATGGCTCTTCAGGAAACTCTTATGCAAAAAATGAAAAAAGTGTTCCGAGATATTGTCCCAGAGTATCACCTAACCAATTTTCAAAGAAAACAAAAGGCATACAGATCAATTTCTATAGAGTTGAAAGAACAATTATCATAATTTGCCTAATTTGAGGTGTATTTTTTCCTCGACCCCTGTATAACGTAAACAGGGCCATCTGCAAAAAAAAGCGAGTCGTGGCACCTCTAAAAAAAATGGGCTTTCAAAATCTGCAAAGATGTTCGAAATCAATACAACCATTTTCAAGATAGAGCCCTTTAAATATTGTGCTCACAAGATTCTGTTAACTTTGTTGTTAGTAGATATAAATGGCCGGTTCTGCAACCTCCGTCCTCCGGAGGAGCTTATAGCATGCCTGCATGCGCCATCTATAGGTTCAGTTGCCTATAATACCCCCGGGGGCTATTGTACACTCACTACCTGCCGTATGAGGCGCCATCTAGGTCCGGGTTAAAATTTTACCAAAAATTTGTTGTTTCATTGATCTTCATCGTCAATTGCATTAAATAAGGCATGCCTAGCTAACGGGGGCACCTGAGCCCAGGAACTTTTTCGATACCGTGGGAAAATCTCTAGATCGGCGGCGTATTTGACCTGAATGAAATTTCGGGGTTTTGATCCGGGCCAACCGTGGGAACTTTTTGCGATAGCGAGGGAACTTTTTCGCTAGCGTGGGAAAATCTTTAGATCGGCGGCGTCTTTGACCTGAAATTTCGGGGTTTTGACCCGGGCCAACCGTGGGAACTTTTGCGATAGCGTGGGAACTTTTTCGATAGCGTGGGAACTTTTTCGATACCGTGGGAAAATCTCTAGATCGGTGGCGTCTTGAATAAAATTTTACCGAAAAAATTGTGTTTCATTACTCGCTTCATTTCTACCAAACTTACCAAGTTAGATTAGGCTAGGCTAGGCTAGTTCAATATTTTGGAATTAGATTAGGCTTGGCTACCCGGGTTAACCTCAAATTTTGGGGGTTTTCCCGGAATTTGACCGCAACCATCTCCAAAACGCCTCGGACACCTACAGCAGGTACCGATAATTACAAAAGACCCCGATTCGGGCACCTACAGCAGGGGACGATAATTACAAAAGCCCCCGATTCCTATTCTAAGTGCAAGTACCTGAACCTAGATGTCACACCTACGGCAGGTACCGATACTAGATGGCGTATCGGGTACCAATTCCTATTCTAAGTGCATGTCCCCGAACCTAGATGTCGTACCAAGCGCGCGCCGGCGTGCTGGAAGCTCCACCGGTGGACGGTGGGCGCAGAACGAACAAACCGGGGGGCTATTGTACACTCACTACCTGCCGTATGAGGCGCCATCTAGGTCCGGGTAAAGCCTTAAAATAATCACTCAGTCAAATTCCGAGAAAACCCCCAAAAAATTGAGGGTTAGTCCAGGTCAACCCCCGAAATTTCAAGGCGCCGCCGATTTTCCCACGGTATCGAAAAAAAGTTCCCAGGCTCAGGTGATGAAGTTCAATGAAACAACAATTTTTCGGTAAAATTTTATTCATTATTAAGCCTTAAAATAATCACATTTGTTTCCTATAATAAGGTAGAACATTCTAGACAATAAAATACCAAAAACTACAGCTATGGTTATTATACAAGTAAAGATTAAGTAAGTAGATGCGTCAGGTCTCGAATCTGTTGAAGTGGAGTTTCTAGTTTCGTTTCTACAGTGGTTTTTGGAGATGGTTTCTTGCTGCGGACCAATTCCGATAGTTGTCCATTCCCTGCTTTCCAAAATGCTGTTGTTCAAGAATTCCACTCGCAAGTTATACTGGTAGAATCTATTCCGCGATTCTGGAAGTACTGTCTGGAAAGTACGTGTACGATCGTTGTCTATGAGGCGGTAGTAGAGCGGAATCCATAAGTCGTTGACATAGCTATCAGTTTTCAGCTGAGCCTTGATATTTCGGACTTCTGATGGTGGATGTATGTAGAGGATATTTTGAACGACTGCTGCGAGGGCGATGAAGTTAGAACTAAGCCAAACCATTGCCTCAACGTTAATGACTGAGTCCACTATTTGGTCAGGGCTTTTATACAGAAATAACAGGTATTTTGCGATGAGGGAGGTCCATCTACTTGCGTCCTCCAATCAGGTCTATTATAATGCATGAAACAAGGAAGTCTTGTCTGCAACCCGAAATCTTTTCTACATTCGAGTGGTAATTTCCCCCAAATATTCAAAAGTGTGGTACTATCGACATACTGCAGAAAGAACCCAATTGGCAAATCCTTCAACTCATCAGCACTACAATCTTCTATATTTTTTTCGCCAGATAAGAGTTTCAACAATTGATCACACATCTTCGAAAACTTGAACTAGACTGAAGCTCGCAGTTGTCGAATATACGGATGTTTAGTTTCCCTTTCCTTTTTGCTTTTTAGTGTCCGCTGGTACTGCAGTCTGCTTCACCTTTTCATTAATCATTTCAATTACCTGACCTTTTGTAACTAAATCGGTATCGTTTATAGCTTTTCCAGCTCTAACTATTCTCTTATCGCCGATGCTTATATAAGTTTTGGTTATATTAAATAGCTTATGTTGTTCTTCCAAGGCAGATATTCGTACAGCCAATTTTGTTTTAATATCATTTTCAATAGACTGATTTTTACTCAGTAAACTTTCAATTTTCTTCTGACTGTCCATCATTTG